ACACATCTGTTATGTCCATTTGAACTAATGTGTTAAGTCAAACTTTTTTAGTCTTTCTGTTCCGATGACCTTTTTACTGTTTAGAGTGGGGTATTAAAGTCCCCTACTATTATTGTATTTCACCCTCTCTTTTCATATCCTGTAATGTTTATTTTATGTATTTAGGTACTCTAATGTTGGGTATGTATGTTTTTACAATTGTTATATTCTCTTGAATAAATGACTTGTATATAATGTCCTTCTTTGTTTCATTTTATAGTTTTTTACTTAAAGTCTATTTTATTTAATATTACTCCCCATCTTATTCAGTTTCCATTTGTGTCAGTGAGCCTGCATATGTCCTTAAAAATAAAGTGATTCTCTTATAGTCCTCCCTAGTGTTGGATCATGTTTTCTTATTCATTCAGTTATGCTGTGTCTTTTTATTGGAGAAGTTAATCCATTTATATTAAAGGTAATTAATGATAGATAAGGATTTACTACTGCCATTTAGTTAATTGCTTTCTTGTTGCTTCATAAGAACAACTGTCTTCTTTCATGGTTTAATGGTTTTCTGTAGTGATAAGTCTCAAATCAATTTGCTTTTGATTTGTGTATCTACTAAAGGTTTTTGCTTTATGGTTACCATAAGGCTTATTTAAACAAGTTATACTTACTCTATTTTAAGCTGATAATAAGTTAACTTTGATTGAATCTATACTTTTATTCCCCCACAAACATTTTATGTTTTGATATCAAAATTTACATCATTTTGTAATGACTCATTTTGGTTATAGATTTTATAAATAATTTTGTCCCTTAGCCTTTGTAGTAGGAATAAAATTGCTTTCTATTTCATTCTTACAGTCCTAGAATATTCTGAATACTGTATTACTTACATCATTCAGCTTTGAACTGTCATGTGTTTTATGTTATTAATTAGTAGCCTTTTGTTTCAGCTTAAAGAAGTCCCTTCAGTAGTTCCTATAAGGCAGACTAATGGTCATAAATTACCCTAGCTTTTGTTTTCTAAGAAAGTTTTTATTTCTCCTTCATTTCTGAATGGGTGAAGTGTTCTTGGTGGTCAAGATTCTCTACCCCTACCCCAATCAGGCACTTTAAATAATCCCACAATCTCTTATCCTGCAGGATTTCTTCTAAGAAATCCATCAATAGTCATATTAAGACTCCTATGTATTGGTGTGTTTCTGTTTCTTATTTCTTGTTGCTCTCAGAAGTTCTTTCTTTAATCTTTCATGTTTTGATTACTATGTCTGGTGATCTCCTCTTTGAGTTGAATTTGATTGGTGACCTCTGCACTCCTTATTCCTGAATGTTTCCATCTATCCCCAGATTAGGGGAGTTTTCAGTGGTTATCTATTTTAATAGGCATCCTTGCCCTTTTCCTCTTTTTTCTTCCTCTGGAAATCCTTTTATGTGATTTTTAGTTTCTTGATGGTGTCCCATAACTCCATCTTTTCATTCTTTTTTTTCTTTTTGTTCTTCTGACTGGGTAATTTCAAATGTTCTGATTTCAAGCTCATTGATTCTTCTGCTTGATCAAGTCTGCTGCTTAAGCTTTATATTGAACTTCCAGTTCAAGCACTGTATTCTCTTTTATATTAGTATATAATGATTAAACAGGAAATTTCATGTCACATTACCACATATATGTGCAGTGTGCCCTGGTTAAGTTCATCCCACCATTATTCTCCCTCATCCCACTACCTGTTCTTAAAATGACATTTACAGGTTTCAATGTTCCATATTTATACACATATAGAAAGTACATCAACAATATTCACTCTTCTTTACCCTCTTCATTTACCTTCCCCCTCTCACTAGTACCCTCCACTTAACATGACCTATTTTACATTCTTTTTCTTCATTGTTTAAGTGTCTGTTCATTATTCAGAGGGGTTTTGCCTTGGTATTTCACCTATAAACATCTTGTACTTTAATCAGTCTAATCCCCTCTATTACTCTTCCTTACCCTTTTTCCCTTACCCTGTATTGTTCAACAACTTTAGTAAATTTTGTTGAGCCTTTTTCCTACACAGATGCTATGTGTTTCATTAACTCTCTACATTATCTTCTCCCTTCCCTCCTCCCATAGTTTCCTCAAAAAGTCCCACTATTGGAAACATGATACACGTGTATATATATAAAATCGTGTCAAGCATTGTATTACTGGGATTTCTATATCTTAGTATGATATTTCTGCTTATTTAATTTTAATAATTCAGTAGATATTTACCCATGATATAATGAGAACAAGGTGTTCTTTGGGGTATCATGGGTCATCTGTAGGATTTCTATTTTGTTTTTATTGTTTGTATTTATCTGTTTTATTTCTAGCGTCTCTGAATTGTTCTCCAAATTCATTCAATTTTCTAGTCATACAGTTTCATAATTCACTGAGACTTTTAAGAGGATTAGTCTGGATTCTTTGTCAGTTATTTCATAGACTTCTGCTTTATTTTTGGAGCTATGTTGGTTTCTTTCGGAGGTGGCATTTTTCCTAATTCTTTGTAATTCTGTCTTTGCATAGTTTTCTGGGCATTTAAGTTGACAGCCAACTTTTCTGCCCCTTATAGGTGTCTCTTGATGGATCCATAGCTTCACTATTTAGTTATTTAGTATAGCCTGTGATTCTGGAAGGTTCAGATGCTAACAATCCCAGACAGAGACTGCTCTGGGTTTTTTAGTTGGCAGGGCCAATGCCCTTTCTTTGATGCTGAATGAGGCTGCTGTCTGGGCTGTACACACTGGGAAGATCATTGTCTGGCCTCACCTATCAGTACAGCTGCTGGATGAGTATTGCAGTGGCCTCTGGTCAAGTTGACCATAGACGTACTTCTGACTGGATGATTCCACTATCGGAGGGTGCATTTGGGCAAGGTTATATAGGCTGAGCTTCAAGATTAGTTGGAGCCACTACCCAGGAGAGGTAGAACAAGTGACTGTACTCTTTAGAAAGGTATAACTGATGATTTTCTACCTGTCTGGGGAAGCCATGAGATGGTGTTTAGCTGAATCAAGCTTGTGTTTGATGTCCCAGGCAAAGCAAATCAGGCTCCTGTTCTCCAAAATGTGTGGAGGTGGGTATCTTCCTTACCTTAATGAGGTCATTTTTTTTTTTTGGCTGTGCTGAGACACTCTTTGGACTGCCAGATCAGTGATGTTCAGCCCTACCCTTCTCCAAAATGTATGGAGACAGGTGTCTTCCCTGCCTGTGTGAATTCATTAGGATATATTCTGAGGCTAGGCATAGACAAGTCATCTAAGGACTGAACCCAGACTGAACATCCCACCATGCTTCTGAAAGCAACCACTTCAGCTTTGTGGGTGAGCCCCTAAACAGGCTCCACAGCTAATAGGAACATAGAGATACCACTAAGAGCCACATGCTGCTCACCATGAGCTCTCTTTCTTTTCTTTGTTTCTACCAGACTCTTCATAGTTTAGCTGTGACATTACTCCCAGTATTCTCTGTGAGGTGAGACCACAGTGGGCTCCCCAGGAAGCATCTTAGACTGACAGAAGCTGGATGACTTCCTCTGGTTCTCTTTCCCCCCACAAAAACTGTGGGCCCAGGGAAATCCTCCCCATTGAGCCAACTTGGGGGAAAGTGTGATGATTCTTACCTTCTAATTGATTTTCAGTCAGTTCTGTGGACCACACAGGTGTCTCAAACTTGTTTCTAAGTACTGAGAATTTCAGAAAGATGTCTCAGTCACTGGATAGCTGCTAGCTGAACTCTCTGTGGGAAATTGTGGAGCCTGATACTTCCACTATGCCATCTTGCTTTATTCTTAGTTTTAATAGAACTAATAAAACTCCCCTCTTCATTACCTAAATATATTTATGCTTACATCAGTATAAATTTTCATAGTATATACTTACCGTCATTACAGTTACCTTCAATGTTTATAATTTTTGCCAAAAATAGAGATTAAAAAATATTTTGCTGCTCAAAGTAAACATGTTGATAAATTGCCATCAAATCATTTGACTGTTTGTGTTTGAGTATGTTGTCCTTTTTGACCTTAATTTTATGACACTGATTCTTTAAAGAAAGAATTCATTAAAGGATTCAACAAAGGTTAAATGCATTGCAAATATTTTCATTCAGTTGGTCATTTATCTTTTCACTTTTCTCGTGGCATCTGACTTCTTATATAATTGCATTCATTTTATGAGGAAAAGGATTACACTTCTCTCATTTTCTTCTTCATATATTTCACCAAGATTAAAATAGAAGTATATGTATGTTTGTCAGCAATAATTATTTTATTTTAAATAAGATAAAGTATTTTCTTCCACTTGGTTGTTACTCTTTTTAAAAGTTTGCATCTGGTATTTGTTTTCTCACAAAAATTTTAATATTAACTTTATGAAAAAGGGCTTCATTTGCATCTTCATATAATTCACTAAGATTAAAACAGAAATAAATTATGCATTGGTAGTAACTTTTACTTTCACTCAGTCAAATATCATCCGTCTTCATCTCTTCATCCCTATTTTATAGGTCTTTCATAAAAATACTATATTTATATCCAGTGAAAAGTAATTGAGGAAAGAATATGACATTGTAGAATTTAGGACATTGGGGGAATTTTTTCTTGTCCTATGTGTATATTGATGATTTTGTTGAATGTTTTTCCTCATGCAGCTATTAAAGAGGTCAAAAGTGGGCATGAAAATAGATGACCTTGTCATGGCCATCTTTTGTAAGCCATAAGATGACTGTCACAAAATCATAAGATCATCAATTTTCTTTTGTAATGAAACTCTACATACAGGGGGAAAGATAGTTGGGGATGAAATGCTAAAAACATCTGAATGCCAGTAGCCCATGTTTAAGATATTTTAAAAAAAATAAAAACTGTTTTACTAAAAGAGAAACAACTTTTCAGTAGTTTGGATGGAAAGCATAATTATACCTTCTGGGTCTTAGAGCCTTAAAAAGATGCATTACAAAAATCGTTTTCATATAGCTGATTTCTTTCTTTCCCTAGGTGCTGAGGTATCAGAACAATTATTGTTGAAGCTGCCACCAAATGTGGTAGAAGAATCTGCCCGAGCTTCTATCTCAGTTTTGGGTGAGTGTTCAGTTCCTAGTGGATTTGGACATTAACAATTTCTATACTGCATTTCTTCTCTATAAATATTTCTTCAAAATTACAAATATAAACTGGGTTTGGTGGCACACACCTGTATATATATATATATATATATATATATATAATTTTAACTTCTTTTTTTATCTTCTTTGAACTTATTTGTTGATCATACATCCTAAAATTTCTCATCATTTTACATCAGTCAATTATTTGTTTCTTTGTAATGATTCAGATAAATTATAATTTCTAAAGTTTATCACTTCTCATCTCTCCCATCCCCTAGGAGACATACTAGCCTCTGCCATGCAAAACACACAAAATCTCCTCAAGATGCCTTATGGCTGTGGAGAGCAGAACATGGTTCTCTTTGCTCCCAACATCTATGTTCTGGATTATCTAAATGAAACACAGCAGCTGACTAATGAAATCAAGTCCAAGGCCATTGGCTATCTCAACACTGGTGAGTGATTGAATGAGTGATTAGAAAGTTGATGTGTTATTTCAGTTGGATTTCCCAATAGGCTTAAATAACTTATCAATATTATTATACTATTATCCCAGTGTGATAGCTACTATGATAAGAATGCCATGATGTTTAATTCCATGGAAACTGTCCATTGTCCAACCTCGAATAAAATGTTTACAATTGAGAACCTATTGAAATTCTTCCAGGAATGAGGGGTGGTAAAAGGAGAATGATGGAGGGGGTGAATTCAACTATGATATAATAACTTTGATAAATATACAATGTGCCCCTGGTACAACAATAATTTTTTAAAGGTTTAGAACCTTGTAACATATGACAGAAAAATTTACAAAGTGCCACAAGAGAGGCCAAGACATTTTAATAATTTCTCTGAACTCAGCATGCACTTTAATCTGCCTCATTGTTTCACTAACCTTCCATTTCAGGTTACCAAAGACAATTAAATTACAAGCACCATGATGGCTCCTACAGTACCTTTGGAGAGAAGCATGGCAGGAGCCAGGGCAATACTTGGTAAGAGAAGGGGCATTTCTTGAGCTCTTATGTTTGTGCCAGCTTTTTATATGTATTACCACAATATATTCACAGTAACTCTATCAGAATATGTATTATTTGACTTATAGTGGATTTCCCAAGATAAATGCACCGAGATTAGCAAGTAACAAACAGAAAATCTGATGTTCAAATATAAATATGTTAGAATTGTTTCCAAAAGTCATCCTGTTAATGATATACCATGGTATTCTTTCTAAAATAGATCCTATAATCAGAGTTTTTAAATGATATGGTCAGTGAACATATCATAATTTCCAGTAAACCATGTTAACTTCAGCCTATATTAATGTTATTTAGGTCATACTTATATTGACAAAATAAATTAATTTAAAGGAGTAAAGAATTGAGAGAGAGAAAGTAATATGAACACTATTTTTTTTTCATTCCTAAGGCAAAGCATATTAGGTGCTGTTGCATATAAGAGCTGTAAGTGAGAACATTCTGTTGTCTATAGAAGAAAATCTTTTAAGGAAAAGAGAGATTTAGAGTCTTCCATGCATAACTAAGAAAATAAGTAATTAGAAGTAGTTAGCCTCCTATAACAAAAGGAAAGTGAGTCAGCAAGGAAATACTAGATCTAGTATATTAATTATGCGACTAAAGGAGAGAACAACTCTAAGTGCACGTAAATTCCTATTACAGAGCTTCTCGATGTAAAACAAGCCTCTTGAAGCCCGTTGCTGTGAAATGGTTATAAAATCATTGTAATAACATAAATATCATCACTTCTTCTCCCCTGGCAGGCTTACAGCCTTTGTACTGAAGACTTTTGCCCAAGCTCGAAGATATATCTATATTGATGAAGAACACATTACCCAAGCCCTCCTCTGGCTCTCCCAGAAGCAGAAGGACAATGGCTGTTTCAGGAGCTCTGGGTCACTGCTCAACAATGCCATAAAGGTGAACCATTTCAGGGCTAGTTTTGACTTGTACATTATGATATCCATAAAAATGAATACAGAAAATGATCATGTAGAGATTGTTAACAGAAAGCATCTGAGGAAAATAAAACCTAAGAAAGAAGGGATGGAATTTAGATTGGTTGTGGTATTTTTCCCTGGGGAGATGGATATGAATGAGGATAAATTCTATGACGAAGTAGAATAGAAAGAGCTGATTAATGGCATTCTGGGAAGTTTAATTACTCAAATCTCATTCTCTTTTGCATTCACAGGGAGGAGTAGAAGATGAAGTGACCCTCTCTGCCTATATCACCATTGCCCTTCTGGAGATTCCACTCTCAGTCACTGTAGGTGTCACCTCAATTCCCTGTTAAAGGATAGTTCTGCATGCAAAAAAAAAAAAACTATTTACTTGCTGATAAAGCACTAACCTACTGAAAACCAAATATCAGCTTTCCCTATCTGCAGCATGAATGCTCCTCAGACCAAGAGAGAACCGGTCATTTACAAAATTTTAATACTTTCCCAGGGATGTCCCCTATGCTATTTCTCTCCCACCACAGCCCTCCCCTACACTCTCAAAAAAAGTATCCAAAAGATATAGTCTATAGTCAACCTTTTAAAAATAAGAGTAGCAGATTTTTTAATACTATTCTCTTTATCCATAAGAAATGAAAAAATGAACAAATCCATTATAAAAACTTCTTTTCCTCCTGGCCATCATCATCCTTTACCAGGGACTGCTAGCACCCTGCTCCTGTAGCTCACTTCCTTTTCTGCCCTCCTTTCACAGCATCCTGTCGTCCGCAATGCCCTGTTTTGCCTGGAATCAGCCTGGAAGTCAGCAAAGGAAGGAGCCCATGGCAGCCATGTCTACACCAAGGCCCTGTTGGCCTATGCATTTTCCCTGGCAGGGAACCAGGACAAGAGGAAAGAAATAATGAAATCACTTGATGAAGAAGCTGTGAAAGAAGGTGAGAGCACACCTGAGTTATTTCTCCTGTCTCACATTCTCTGTATTGAGAACTGTAATGTAAAACTTCCCTACTCCTTCCTCTTGTGAGCTCTGTCCCCCTTCTTCTTTCATCATATTTTTATAAAATCTAGGATTTCTTAATAAAATCAGACATCAAAAGACAAGATTTAGTCACTTACAAGTATAGTAGTAAGAAGCTTACTTTGGATACTAGCTCCATAATGTACTATCTGTGAGATCTTGGAGAAGTCATCAACTTGGCTGTGTTTTAGTTCTTTTATCAGTAAACACGGATAATGAGATTTACCTCACAGAGTTATTGTGAGTACTAAATGAGTTAATAGGTAGAAAGCAGTTAGAGTATATGACACATAGTAAATGCTATGAAAGTACTAGCTCTTATTACTGATACCTGAGTTCCTAATATATACCTAGCCCTTATTTGGTATATCCTATAATCTTAAACATTAGGAAAGATTAATGGTGATAACACCATGAATAAATTATGTTATTTTTATCCCATTTCACAAGACCAATCTAAGAATATTCACATAATACTTTTGCATATATTATGGTCTGTATGAGGTATTGAAGAAACAGAAAATAAAATGCAGATGATAAGGTGGCTGATAAAAATATATACTCTTTCTTCTTTGATGGTACCATTAAATGGTTTAAATGTATTGGGAAATATTTCAGATATACAAAAAAAGAATACAGAATAGAAATCATTGAAACACCTGTATAATTCCCTCCAATGTTAGAAAATATTACCAGTACATGAAAATGGTAAATGTAATTTTGAATTTGTCATTACAGTTTTCACTGATTTCTTTATATTTTTGCTGCACATGTGTTCCTAAATAATGCTCAGTTTTCCCATAGTTTCATCTTTACATATATGGTATCATATTTATGGATATTTCATTAGCTTGGTTATTCCTGCCTTTTTGCCTTTGTTTTTTAATTTCAACATCATGCTAATGGAGGTCTTCACACTGGTCCATGTAACTTTAGTTCATTAGTTTTCAGGACTGCACAATATATTACAATATGTAGTTAGATCATAATGTACATATTGAGTTCCTCTTCATGGATCTTTTCTCTTTTTTTGTTTGCTTCCTTTTGCTTGGTTTGGGTTTTTTAAGGCAGAATCTCACTTATGTTGCCCAGGCTGGCCTCAGACTTGCCATCCTCCTGCATCAGCCTCCCTAGTGCTGGAATTATAGGCATGACCCCAGCTTCTTGTTAGTTTTTGCTAACACAAACATTGCTGAAATGAATACTCAGATGCTTATCTCCTTGCATACTTGTGAGTTTTTCCAGGTTATCCTTTGAGAAGCATAATGACTGATTATAAGTGAGGCATGCCTTCTCCTTTGCTGAATATTGACAAATTGCTCTCAAAAAGCAGATAACTTCCCATAACAGTGTATATCAGTTCCCATTGTTTGTACCCATGTCAGCTTTAGGTGTTTTAAAGATTATTGTCTTTTTTTCAGTTTAGTTAGTATGACCTCTATTATTGCATGTAGTAAGTGATACTCATAAGAAACCTCTATGGACAGGCTTTACAGGAAATTTAACACATAGCAGCTAAACCCTAGTTAACGTCGGAAACAGGAAGAAGCCACAACCAATAAAAGAACTTGCTCTGCCATTTCTTTCTCTCACCAATCCAACTATAGTAACTATTTGAAAACGTGGATGGCTATAGGCTTCTGACTTTATCAGTATTACCTATCTTACATAGGCTGAAGCACACCAAGTTCCTATAAGGAAAAGCAGTTCTCTGAGGTTGGAAGAATTACAATTGTAATTCAATCTTTGCTTCAGCTCTGGCTTGTGTATTTTCATCTTAAATTAAACATAAATATTTAGTCATTAAGTATCTTTTTTGCATGTGCAGGTAACTCTGTCCACTGGACACGACCGCAGAAACCCAGGGTACCAGTGGGTCTCTTGTTCCAACCCCAGGCTTCCTCTGCTGAGGTGGAGATGACAGCTTATGTACTCCTCGCTTACCTCACCACTCAGCCAGCACCAACCTCAGAGGACCTAACATTTTCAGCAAACATTGTCAGGTGGATCACAAAGCAACAGAATTCCCATGGCGGTTTCTCTTCCACCCAGGTGAGTGATTTGCCTGAACCTTTTGCTTCATGTTTTTCATTACTATAAAAAATACATATATCTAAGGCAGGCTAATTTCATGAATAAAAGAGGTTTGATCAGCTCATGATTTTAGATGCTTAAAGTCCAAATAGCATGTCTCAAACTCTTGTGAGGTCTCCCCCAGGCCCTTAGCTACATCACCTCATGGTGGATGGCAGTGGTGAAAGCATATGTGAAAAAGAGATCCTTTCTCAAAATAAGAAGCTGGAGATCTGGGTGGGGCCAAGCTTCCTCTTTTTATAGCAGCCCTCTGATGAGAACTACCAAGGGGTCCCACAAGAACTACCCAAATCCCTTCTGAGAGTGATTTAATGATTTAAGGACTCTCCACTAGGCTCCATCTCTTAAGGTCCCACCGCCTCCCAACATCACTAACCTGGGAACCAAACCTCCAGTACAGGTACCTTTGAGGAACAAACCACTTCCAAAGCATAGCAAGACTTAAGTGAGTCCCTTATTCCTCTTCCAGGACACTGTGGTGGCTCTCCATGCGTTGTCCAAATATGGAGCAGCTACTTTTACAAGGACTGGGAAAGCTGTCCAGGTGACCATCCAGTCCTCAGGGACATTTTCCAAAGAATTCCAAGTGAACAACAACAACCGCCTGTTACTCCAGCGGGTCTCCTTGGAAAGGGTACCTGGGGAATACAGCATTAAAGCCACAGGAGAAGGCTGTGTCTACCTGCAGGTGAGACGCTCAGGCAGAAGAGGCTTTCTAGGAATTTTCTCACTGAAGAGGATAGGGCAAATCAGAAAAAGAGGTGAAGAAATTAGGAAGAATTCCAAAGAAAGGAGAAAAACAGACTTTTGTCTTTAATGTTCCATAGACATCCTTGAAATACAATATTCTCCCAAAAAAAGAAGAGTTCCCATTTGCTTTAGAAGTACAGACTCTGCCTCAAACTTGTGATGGACATAAAGCCCGCACCAGCTTCCAGATCTCACTGAATATCAGGTAAGAAGACTTTCTGAGAGGATCACTTAATTCTGGGATTAAGAACCCATCTTCCTACCAGATCCTCACTATGCAAACAGGAGGAGTACAATAAATGTTTGCACTACATTTATGTTAAAAAGCAAGCTATTCTTTTAAGTTGATACAATAGAATTTCTCAAGGATGGGTTTTACGTTGTCCTTCCCCTGCTTCCAGGACCCACTGATGCCCAACTTCATTATTTGAATGTTAATACTTCCCCTCAATAATAACAATAAAGAATATTACCCCTTAGCTCTTACCTGAAATCCTTCTAATGTAATGAAACACTACATTATTCTTGGTCTATTCAGGACTGAGAGAGAATTCTTGAAAAGCTTGAATAGAAGAAAATACTGCCTTTTTAATTAGAATTCCTGTTGGCAATAAATATATCTGGAGTTATGCACAATATAATCAAGTTTGGATAGAAATATATATGCAGCAATATTCAAATAACTACAGGAGTTACAAAAAATATCTGTCCACAAGACTGTTACAACTTGGTTGGGGATAATATTCAGGAAACAAATGAAGCATATGTAATAATAAATAGCATAGGCTAGCAGTCTCAAGCCCTTGCATTGCTTGTAGAGCTTTCTTAAAACAGGAATTCCAGAGTCCACACATTTTAAATTCTGATTCATCAGATATAGAGTAGCATTGATCTCTGGCTTTACCAGTTTCCATAAAAATTCTAATACAGTCAGTTTTCTGAACCATTGGGATAGGATATTTAGGAAAACTTACATGTACTTTAAAGAGCTATTGAGTGCCTAACATGGACATTAAAAAGGGAATATTTAATAACACATTAAACTTAATTCTCTTTCCCTGAATCTTCAGTTACATTGGAAGTCGTTCTGCTTCCAACATGGCCATTGCTGATGTGAAGATGGTATCTGGCTTCATCCCCCTGAAACCAACAGTGAAAATGGTAAATTTATTATAATTCCAGAATACTTTATTTTATTTAATATTTTATGTATTCCCAGACTAAGTCAATACTAATACTAAAATACTACTAAATCAGTTTCTACTAAAGACTTATGCTTTCTCCAGACTCACAAATATAACTGAGCATGTTTGTACAACTGTCCGCCATGTGCATAGCATTCTTCTGGAAGCCATGACTACTGGGAAAACTGCCAGCAGTTTTCTGATAGCAATGAAACTGAGCTTAGAATATTAACGTGCTAAAGCATACAAATGCAAACCAGTGAAAAAATATGAAAATGACTGAGGACATAAACTTTTATAAGTGTTACAGAAGTTAAGAGAAAAAAGAGATCGCTCTAAGTTAGAGTGAGCAAAAAAAGAAAAACATCTCCTTTGTGAAGAAACAGAATGTGAGTTGAACCTTGAAATAGTAGGAATTTCCAAATATTGGTATTTAGTTACATTTTCTTCAGATGAATCAACTTTACACATCAGGCATGTGCATGCTAATATTAAATGCTTCGTCTAAATTACTTTTTATTTTCATTTTTATTACATTTTTATAAAAGAAATTTGAAGGAATTCTATCCTCTTGATTTTTTTTGCCAATAATAAATTCTTTTTTCCTCTGAATCATTCAGGGGGGCTTCATCTGTTTATTAATATTTGTGGTGCTTTAATTTTTTTAAGCTTGAAGGATCTGACCACGTGAGCCGGACTGAAGTCAGCAACAACCATGTCTTGATTTACCTGAATAAGGTGAGAATCTGGCCAGTGTAGTTACAAAAACTATAGATAATAATCCTAAGGGAGCCATGTGGGAAACAAGTATTTGAATTTTGGAAACATCACCTCCATGCTAGAAATATGAGAACTCTAATAATCCAGTGAATACTCTTCTCTCCTTTGTTAATATTTCACTTGGGATTATGGAAAGAAATGGATTATTATAATGTTGGGATACTAATATTTATAGGACTCTTTAAGCAAGAAATTTTCCATTAAAAAGTTTTCATAAAGTCTATCAACATCCCCAACTACAAAAGGGTTTGAAAATACTGATAATGTCATTAAGGACTTGGACCATAAATAATAAACCAGCCCACCAATAAACCAGGGTGATTGTATAGATAGTTAAAGTAGCATAATTTGTTCATGCCTTATACTGATAGGATTTACAGTTTATAATTTGCAGTGATCAGTCTTTATATTTCTCTTTGAGTCTATACAAGATAAAGGCAAAGCTCTACCAAATCTCCAAATATTTAAAAAGGTCATAGCTTGGGACATAGCCAACAAAAGGCATATATTATTTTCCCCCTGTGAAATTATGCTGGCTCTGATGGAGGTATATGAGTTGCATGAATTATTTAGGAAATAATTTGAGAAATTTTTCATCTTCTCTGAGGGCCTCCTGCACAATTTAAGAACAGGACTGTGTGTTGTTAGTTGGTAAAGTTTTTTCCCCAAAACAGATGCATATTTATGATTCATTTATTCAAAGAGAAAAGAAACCTCCTTGGAAGATGATTTAACTTTCTTTTGCTTTCCAGGTGTCAAATCAGATACTGAGCTTATCTTTTACGGTTCTACAAGATATTCCAGTAAGAGATCTGAAACCAGCCATAGTGAAAGTCTATGATTACTATGAGACAGGTGAGTGTAAATAACTTCCACATGGAAAATAAATTCCTCCTCACAGAAATTTAGCTTTGGGAAACATGTTCAGGTAGTTTAGTACATGAAGTACTTACACCATTTCCTTTTGTCTCCATCAAGTTTGATTCTCTACTTTTTGTCTTCTATACATACATGGGAGAAACTACCTACATTTAAAATATATCAACTACTAAAAGAAAACAGCTGAAGGGTACTTAGTTCCTGTTTTTGTTAAGTAAACCAACAGTAGGACAATATGAGATTTAAGGAAGGACACATCTGAACTGCCCTTTAGGAGTTTGGGGCAAAAGAAAATACAGCATACTGTATCGTAGGCAGCAAGCAGTGCATCGAGAGAATGCTGCTGACCTTTCTGACATAAAGCAGCTCTTCCACAGCAGAGATCCCTTCACTGACTTGGTGTGATGACTTTTGTGTTTTTGCAGATGAGTTTGCAATTGCTGAGTACAGTGCTCCTTGCAGCAAAGGTAAGACATGCACGCTCCTTCAGAATTTCTCTGGTTTGTCTCTCAAACATTCTTCATAAAATCCTGGCTATATATTCTTCCTAAGTGTGATGTTGCTCACAGTGCATGTTATTATAGAAAAAGTGCACATATTTGAGAGGGCCAATGACTGTCACACCTCAGATGAGGCTTCTTATTAGGTAATTATCCTTCATAGATCACATTTCCTGCTGTGCTAATTAGTTTTCCTTAGGCACTATGCTACTGATATTTAAGGAAAGGAACATTCTCTGCTCATGGAAATACAAATCTGTATTAATTTTCTTTTCTTTCTACTATCACAGAGCATGAAAATGCTTAAGGAACATGTTTGACTGGAGTCCCTGTTCTCAGAACTTCACAAGCAAAAAACTGTTTTTGTATCTATTAAAGATTTCATCAATAAATCTTTTTTCTTATCAGTCTCTTATCACTGTTCTCTCACTCATTCAATCACTATTTTTTATATTTCTGTATGATTCTAAATGGAAACCTAAGGAAAAGATAATACCAACCAAGGACTGAAGGACTTCAGAAGACAAAAAGAAGTTACAGTGATGTTGGTCTGAGCAGGCTTCATGTAAGAGAAAAAATACTGGATTATATACTAGGAGAAACTAAAGTGTGTTTATTTACAAGAATACCTGAAGTAAAAGCCAAAGTATATTTTTATGAGAAAATAAAGGACTGAATTGACTAGAGAAGACTTTTTCACATCAAAGGAAAGTAGTGAAATACAAAGTTGGATCAGTTATAGTTTGAGGCAGCATAATAAATCAGAACTTGACCTGCCTGGCAGTTATGTGTCCTAAAGTTATATGATCTAAATCTTCCAGTGACTAATAATAATCAGTCCATTAACCTTTGCTCTCAGAGTCAGTAATGAATGGCAGAATAAAAATATCATGGGGTTGATACATGTAGAAGAAAGGTTTCTGAGAAGAAAGAATACATATGACTTAAAACCCAAACTAGAGTTAGAGCATCCCACATCTCTGAATTATAGAGCAAGGATGAAAGGACAGATACAAAGTCAAGGAGGTGTTCAGATGCAGTCTCTCTCTTCATTTGGCACTTAAGATGACAATATTGAGTTTGGCAGAGTGTGGGTGGAATAGGCTAAGAATTTGAAAGGACTTTGAAGTTAAAACAAGCCTTAGTTCTGTTTCTAGGCTAGGTAAAACCAAAAAATAAATAAATAAATAAATGCTATTATTTTCATGCTAAATTATGCTCTAAGCACCTCATAGATACTAACATACCAGCTCTATGAAATAGGTATTATTACCACCAATAAGAAAATTACACCATCAAACTTGGATTCCCACTCTGTATCCTAATGTCAAACCATGCTGCCTCTCTAGCCCACTTCAGACAAAAACTCCAGAAGAAACCATGCTGCAGAAGTTAATAAACATTACCATTAACTTCCAGCCAGTATATAGAATATAAAAGTAACAAAGATATAGTTAAGGATACAAGTCAAAAGAATTACAATAAGTTTTATCACTAATTCCAGTTCCTTTTCTTTGTTTGAATGGAAACCATGGCTGACCATGGCTGAAAATCTATTTTAAGAAGGTACTTGTTGCAAATCATTAGTTGTATCAATGAACCAAGAAGATTCCTTCCTGAAATGCTATTACCTGCAAAACAATATTATATGGTATGCTATAAAAATGAGTAAAATGGAATTCCTCCCCTACCTCTCTTAGTTTTCATGGCTGAATAAAACAAAAAGTTACATACTTGAATTATCACACTACATGATTAGTACTACAAATTACTCATTGCTACAATGGGCTGGAGGTAAAAATGACCTTTTTAAGATTTCAAGTATAAGAATTCTGGAGAATTACATCTGAGAAATGGATTTCCAACAGGCCTAGTGGAAGGGCAATCTTGAAATTAAATAGAGTTTAAAATTTTAAAGAATAATATATCCTCCACAAGTGAATGAAACCACATGGTCTGAACGTAAATGGATGCAATGGAGGACATCATGTTTAATGAAGTAAGCCAGGCTCAGAAAGACAAAGTCTGCATGTTTTCCCTCTCATATGTGGGAGATAGACACAATGCAAATACAAGCAATATTATGAAAAGTGGGTCATACTAAGGGGAGGTCACATATGAGAGGGGGAGAGTAAAAGTTTCATCTTTTGACATATCCATTTTGTGAGCCTGCCATCCTGTCTCTGAAATATTATATCTCCTAGCCAGATTATATATATATATATATAATATATATAATATAATATATAAAGTATATTATATATAATATATAATGTATATTATATATACCTATATAATGTGCATATATATAATATATATTATATATACATATATAATGTGCATATATATATGTAAAACTGGAGAAAGATGTCGAATGCTAAAATTTTTAATAGAAAAGCTATATAAAAGAGATACCATGCAAAGAGTGTCAAATACAAGTCACCTCCATCTCCTTTTGCTCCTAAATGCAAAGTCAGTACCAAATCAAAACAAAATGAACAAAAACAAGCAAAGAATGCTTTAGAACTTTCAGATACTCCTTGTCAGTTTTCTAAGTAACTCTATGAACTTGATCGGCCTTCCTGATGGCACAAGGGGCAGAGATCAAAGTAAGTCAATCATGCTTGAATTGTTAGGACCTTGTATTTTATTTTTTAAATATAATGAGCCATTCTCTTGCATTTCCATTCTTTTTTTTTTTTTTCTGACACTGGGGATTGAATCCAGGGCTTTGTACATGCTAGGCAAGCACTGTACCACTTCAGCTATGCCTTCCTCTAGCACTTTGGGGTTTTTTAAATTTTGTTTTTGAGGTAGGCACTCACTAACCTTGCCTTGAACTCAAGATCCTCTGCTTCTACCTCCTGAGTAGCTGGAATTGCAGGAAGGTGTCACCATGCTTGGCTTCCTGCATTTTCTTATACGTACCTCACCCATTTCTCCCACTTTGAGCCAGTTGGTCAGATGCATCCATTTGACTCAGGGAATATCAGGATTGAAAGAGAACGAAATAGAATATTTGAATCTGCTAAATGGCTCTTATATTTATTTAGACCCCATTGATAAGCCAAGAATTTATCCTGATTAGCGCATAATATTTGCTATGTGAAAGAGGTGATAAAAACTTGGGATATGATAGTACAGAAACATCTGAACAATAGCAAATGATGTGACTGAAAACAGAACGTGGACACACTTTAATACTAATACAGAGATATCTCTAGGATTAAATTTTTAAAAGAAAAAGTAGGAGGGGTGGAGGCATGGCTTAAGTGGTAAAGGATCCACCTTATAAGCATGAAGTCCTGTGTTCAAGCCCTGCCAAAAAGAGAAGGAGAGAGGGAGGAAGGGAAGGAAAGAAAGAAAGAGAGAAAAATTAGACCACAGGATGAGGTAAATATTATGAACTTTTTTATGTAGAAAGAAAAGAATGACCCTAGGAGATACCACATGGACATTCATAATCAGCATTTGAAAAACTCAGGTTTGTCATCTTTAAAGCAGATGGACTCCTTGAAAATTTTCCATGGCAATTTTCTTGCAACTTATAGCAGGTTCCAGTTTTTTAAAATTTAATAAGTGTTTATTATCAAAGTAATTCCTGAAACATGACACTATAGAAACCACTATAATCTGTCTGGATCAACAGAACTCAGCATAAATCATGGTATTCAATGGATGTATCCTAACACTAAGTGCATTGAACACACCTGCATCTGGTGACATAGTGTCAGAGCAAGGGCAGAAACTAAAGTTTTATATGGAAAATGAAAGATCTTTTAATAACAAAATAAAACGAGCTAGTAATCTAAGATTATTGTTTCCAAATGGCTATAAAGAACCAACAGCACTTGAGAGATTGAGGAAGGAGGACAGTAAATTCAAGGCCAGCCTGCGCTGTGGAGCAAGACTCCATCTCAGAAATTTTTTAAATTTTTTATTTAAAGAAAGAACAAACAAAATGGAAATTCTGAATGTAAAAGTCATATTACAGAAATTGAAATGGGTAAGAATAGGGACCTGTTAAGAAACGCTAACAGTGTTAGCTTTCCATCACTGTGACAAAGTTCCTAAGAAAATCAATTTACAAGACAGAATGCCTGATTTGGGCCCATTCTTTCAGAGGTTTCAGTCCGTAATCACTAGGCCTGATCGTTTCTGGACCTGGGGTGAGGCAATACATTATAGTGGCAGGAGCATGTAGTGGAGGATGATTGAACAACTCATGGAAGCAGTAAAGAAGGAAAAGGAAGATAGAAGCAGGAGGAAGAAGAAGAAGAGGAAGAGGGAAAAAGAAGAGAAAGAAGGAGAAGAATAGGAACAGTGTTGGAGACCAGGCATGACCCTGGACTGGGATATAATGGAGTTTGCACAGCCTCTCCATGACAGACGTTTGCTCAGTCTCTCCTACCATATTTTTCCCAGTACCTGGTGTCTTGACCTTTGATCTCACATCTTCTTGAAGAACACAACCTGCTGTGTCAGCATACCAGCCTCCTGATGCAAAACTAGATAAAGTACCAGAACTGTTAGGAGACTCCCTGATGCCAGATTAATCAATACTTTAGATAAGGTGTCCAGCGTGCCTTGATGATTCCAGAACTGATATGCTGTAATTAAGCTTCATTAGTCTTAGGAAAATTAGCAGACCAAACGTCATTCCTTTCACCTTGAATCAAGAATTGTTAAAGCTTGATTTTTACCTGAGTCTTTTCCTTGTACTGACCTATAAAATAAACACTCTGGCTCAGGTAGGTGCTCATGTTTCCCACCAGGAATGTGCAGTCCTCCCGATCCCAGCTTTCTGTTTTATGTTTTATGTCTGTATGTCTATGTGTGTCTTATTTCTCATTCCCCATCGCTCTTAGTCAGGTTCATGCAGCATACACACGCAGGACGGGACAGAAGAGGGAAGAAGAGGAAAGAGAGAAAGAGAGAGGAAGGAGGAGCCAGGGTCCCAGTATCCCATTCAAGGACATGCTTCCAATGGCTTAACTTACTTCCTCTAGAGTCCACTTTCTAAAGGTTCCAAAGCCTCCCAATAGCACTACAAAAGGGTGACCAAGTCTTTAGCATGTGGGTCATCTTTAGGGGAAATATGCCTGTCCCAATCATAACATTTTACCACTGTCTCCCAAAGGCTTATGTCCATCTCACAACGCAAAATGCATTCCACCTATGTCCAAGGTCCCTAAAGCCTTAACTGCGCCAGAATTTCTCAAAAGCCAAATCCAAAGTCTCTTCTGATACTCAAGGCAAACTCAGCTGTGAGCACCTATAAAAATCAAAAAAACAAGTTATATACTTTCCAAATAAAAATGCCCAGATAAATATTAACATTCCAAGAGGAAGGAATGGGGTACAGAAAGGAGGAATCAACATAGAAAGGTGGACTCAAACTGG